AATCAATCAATCAATCAATCAATCAATCAATCAAATCAAATCACCCACTTGAGATATTTCTGTTACAGCCCCAAGAAACGAAGATATTGTCCCACCTACTTTAGGCTGGGCCCTCCTTAGAGATATTGCTTCTTTGCCCCTACTTCCCCCTGCACAACATCTGGAAGGCAGTTCATGCTGGAGTCACTGAAACAACCTGAGTGAATTCTATCCCAGTCATCCTTCTAACCAGACCACCACCATGCTTAGCCCATACCTTGTCCAGCAGCAGAGCCTGGCCATCCTTGGTCCAGCTGACAAAGAGCAAAGGGGGGTTGGCACGAACAGGACACCGGATCACCCCACGCATGCCTACAGGCAGGGGTGTCTCAGGAGGCATCGATGTCACCTGGGCTGGATCTTGGGGAGAAGCAGTGGCATGTTGGAAGGGGTGACTGGATGGCTCTGGGGAGAGACAGAGGCTAGGGAAGGTGCTGGGTCAGGCTTACAGAGCACAGTGAGGTAGGCAGAGGCCGAGGGCGAGCGCGGGAGGCCATTGCTGGGTACACAAGTATAGTGGCCGGCATCATCAGGCTGGGCAGCCTCCAGCCGCAGGCTCCCGTCCACCAGGATCCGCACCCTGGACTGCAGGCGGCTGCAATGTGGCATGTGGAGAGGGGGTCCAGACCCTGACCAGCCTTGGGGTTCTTAAAAACCTGCCCACCGATTCTCCACTCCCACCATTCCCAAGCCCCACCTGATGTGGAAGACATTGATGCTGTCCTGGAACCAGCTGTAGGTGAGGTTTGCTGGGTATGCCTCAGCCTGGCAGGCCAAGGAAACATCCTGGGAGGCATTGACCGTAGTGTTCTTGGGGGGCTCCACAATGACAGGAGGTCCTGGGGAGCACACAAGAAGGGGGGTGGTTTCAGCTCACAGTCCTTCAAGAACTTGAGGTTACTTCCAAAGCTCCTCCTACCTCTATCCTATGGGATCTAGTGCTGACTGTTACAGGAGCTTGAGGACTGAAGCAAGAAAAACTCCCAGAGACCAGCTCATTCCATCTGGAGGAATTCACCTAATTTCCTCCCCCTAGAAATTGTATGTGGAGAGGTGAGGCCCAATTTCAACTATCTGCTCAGTTATGCTTAATATCTCTCATCTGTCATGTCTTAAACGAACCTTGGAGCTGAGTGTAATGTCCCAGAGGGCACATCTCCCATAGTTCAAATCCACATGCTACCTTTCAAGAGAAAGATGATATGCTGTCTCCTCCCTTAAAGATTTATAGCTTTGGAAACCCAATAGAGGATTGGAAGTGACTCGATGACAGTGAATAAGGGTCATGTCTTAAATCATTCTGGCTCTTGCCCTAATCCAGGTAGCTAATCATTTACTCCACAACACTTCAGCAACTCTGAGCGAGGCGATGATACCAGCTGGCATGGAGGAGCACCAACTGGACTCTAAAAAACAGTATACCTCCATCCTAGTCTGAACCAACTCATAGCTGACCCTCCAGTGTATTTTCAAAGCCTGTACTTATCACAAGAGGAGAACGCCCATCTTTCTCCAGTGGAGCTGCTGGTGAGTTCAAACTGCCAGAGAGGAACCAGCTTTATGCCAACAGTGTAACTCCCTTCCAGCTACACAACCAGATTACTCTCCTCATTTTACAGATGAAGAAATTAGAAAGATTGTAAAGCGACAATCTCTGCATTCAAGCCCTTTCCACTTGTTTCACCTTGCTGGTCACTATTTATCCTTTTAAAGTTAAGATTAGCTTTAGGGCAACACCCTGCATTGGGCACGCTCTCGGTCTCCTTAGGCTCCCACCCTCGGACTCTGGTCATAGTCCTCTTACATTCCCAGCCCTCCCATCAAAGAGCACCTTGTACCAGCAGCTGCGTGCTATGGGTGGCGCTGCCCTCGGTGCTGGAGGCCTGGCAGGTGTAGACCCCAGAGCTGCCCCGCTCAGCGCGCCGGATCCACAGGGTCCCATTCTGCACCTGGGGAAGGAAGATGCTGCGCTCCCGAGGCCGGCCAGCAGAGGGCAGCAGCAAGCCAGGCTCGGCGGCCCGAGGTGCCGCACCCACCCCGGCAGGTCAGACTCCCAGCTTGCCCTTTGGCCCCTTGGCCCTCCATACCTGCTGCCAGACCCACTATATGTCCTTCGCCTCTCTCTGGCCTGCCTTGCCCTGCCCAGGGCTCATTTATACCTGGCCTTGACCAAGGTCCTGTCCACGGAGCTTCCAAGTCACGTGAGGCTGGGGACTCCCACGGGCCACACAATGCAAGGTCACAGGCTCCAGTTCCCGGACTTCAAGCACCGGGGGAGGGGTCTCCAGGAACTGAGGAGGTGCTGCGGGGCGAGAAAAGTGAGTGGATGCCACAGAGGGCGGTACCCAACCAAACTGCGTGTCACGCAGAGAGACAAGATCACTTGGGGCTCAGCCTCAGCCTGACCAGGTTGAGTCTCCAGCCAAGTCCTCACACACACCATCCCATCCCACACACCGGCCTGCAGAGCCTGGGTGCCTCCAGGAGAGCACTGCTCTGGAAGCCGGGAGGCTTGGGACTGAGGCTCTGCTGGCACCAAGCTGGCATGGACTAGCTGTGCTGTGCTCCAGTTTCCTCATCTATGAAATGGGAATGGTTATGACGTCTCTGCTCAACAGAGCCCTGGTGGCCCAACTGTAGTGAGTTGAGCTATTAACCCAAAGGCATGCCTCCCTGGTAGTTCAAATCCACCAGTGGCTCCGCAGGAGAAAAATACACAGCTTCTGCTCAAGTAGTTTATGGCTTCAGAAACCCAGGGAGAGTCAACTGTGAGTCAATTCCAACTTGACAGCAACGACAACCCCTTCTTAGAATTGGAAGTGAATTCATAAAATACTGGGTAAAAACATGTGTTGTTACAAGTAAGTGCTGCATGAACTCAGGGCCTAACCCCCTTTGCCCTCATATGGCCACGGAGGCAAGGGTGGAACAGAGGAAGCGGGAAGCTCTTGACACAGAGTCCAGCGCCTAGAAGGCAGACTGGATTTAAATTTGAAGAAGTGAAAGGGTAGGAGGATGTAAAAAGTGAACATGCAAACACGGGCACCAGGGAGGGGTGAGGCACAAGAGCTTCATGTGCATATGGATCCAGAGTGTCTACTTCCCTGTTCCCCCCAAGAGCCACAGGTCCCCATCTCCACCACCTGCACCCCAGCTTCATACAATTGACGGTGAGGTGCACCCAGGAGCCGTTAGCAAAGTCGTCCTCGGGGCGGTGCTGGTCCAGGAAGAGCACGCGGCACTCGTACCAGCCCTGGTCTTCCGCCCGCAGCCCCTCGATCTGGAGTGATGCCCCCTTCTGGAGCCGGACTCGCCCTGGGGGAGGAGCCCTGAGTCAGGGGTGCTGACAAGACCTGGTGGTAGCCCCAAATCCCTGGCCACACTGATCGTTCTCAGAGGTGAGAAACAGGTCTGTTCTCTCTCATGCCCCACAGAATGGGGCCCGGAGAGGCAAAGATGGGGTCACTGGCAGATGAGTCACTGAGGCAGGCACATTGAGTCTAGAGCCATTGACCACTCCTGACTTTCAGTAGGGCAGGCTCAGTGCAGACAAGAGAAGCCCAGAGAGGCAGAAGGTGGGTCAAATATTTCACAGAACTACATCAGCTTCTAGGACTTCCAGAGGGAAGGAGCTTGGGGAGGGGGTTGTAGCCTCTATATTCTTACAAGATCTGTCCCCAGCCCTGGCTGGAATTCTTTTGTAGGGGCCCCCAGAGGACTCTGAGCCTGGAAACCTCAGCAGTTTGGGGCCCAACCAGGGACCCAGACCTCCCCTGTTAAAGCCCCTAATCCCTCAGGGCTATTATCAGCGGCCTAAGCGCCTTAGGGTGGCCAGAGTCCAGCCCAGCCAGGCAGCAAAGTCAGCAGCCTTGTCTCACAGCCTCTCCACGCCCTGGGCCTCAGCTGACTGACCACACATGGCCACACAGCCCTACAGGCCAAGCAGACACCTCCTCCCCACCCTTGGTCAACACCCACACCACACAGCCAGTGCAGACAGAAAAGTGCCCATCTAAATTGCCTCCACGCCCTGTCCTGACAGGGTCCACACACTAGACAGCTTCAAAACAGAGATGCACACTTAGGCGCCAGAAAGACTTCTAGACACAGTCCCTGCTCCCCTGTGTGTTCTTCTGAGCGAGTTATCTAGCCTCTCTCAACCTATTTCTTCATCTTCAAAATGAAAGAATACAAAAAATGTGGGTGGGGTGGAAGAGAGAGAATACAGGGAAGGCATCCAGCACAGTGCCTGGCATCAGCAGGTGCTCAAATACAGGCTGCCCAACAAACAAATGAGCTCAGGATTTGAATCAGAAGCCTGTATTCAAGTTGTGGCCTTATCCCTTCCCTGATAACACATCCTTTTCCCCTTTCTGCCCCACCTCCTCTGAGTTCTTGCTATCAGAGTTCTCTGGATCAGTGGAAAGCACCACCATGCACCAACTCACTCTGCCAGGATTGGCATCACCTGGACTCCTCCAGCCCCTTCCCCCTCCCTCCCCTATGCTCCGTCTACGTGGTCTTGTCAGCCATTGTTGCCAGGGTGATTCTGACTCATGATGAACCTATGTGTGCAAAAGAGAATGTTTACAATTCCACCTCCTGAAAATTTTCTCCTCTGCCACCTTCATTTTCGTGTAAACCCCACACGTCTCTCTCATTTGGGTTACTCCAACAACCTAGGCCTCCCTGCCTCCTCATCAGTTGCCCACCTCCACCCTGACCTTTAATAGGGACAAATCATCGATGTTCTCCAAATCTTCGGGGGCATACAAATGCAGCTCTCAGCCAAGTCCCTTAGCAGTGTGCCCATTCCAGCCACATAGATTATAGCCTAAAACCCTCCCCGTTTTGTTGTCATGTGATATCAAGTAGGAACTGCCTCACAGACTGTAAATTAATGGGGAGGAGAGTGCTGGTGGACTTGAACTGCCTGCCTTTGGGTTGGCAGTACAACTCTTTATCCTCGAGGCTATCAGAGATCCCTAAACCTTTCCTAAATAATAGAAATTCTGAAGCTGTGAGTTCATTCACAGCTCTAACATGCTCCCACTCCTCCTGAGGGGGACCCTTCTGACATATCATCTAAGCCGAAATGTGTCTCTAATGGTGTCAGGGAAGGAGAGAATGGTCAGGTAGAGTGTGACAGATAAAAGATTTCTTTCTCCAGAATAACTTTCAGGGGAATGGGTTCTCTAGGAAGGGTGGGCCTTCTTAAAGGGTTAGATGTTTAAATTCCCACCCAGTATAAACATAGGCCCAACAAGTAAATATCTAACACAGTCAAACCTTTCCACCTACTTTTCCTCCACAACTCTGACCGCCCTGTCACCTAGCCCTGCAGACCCCAGACTACAACCTTGTCCAAGTCCTCAGTAATAATTACCTTTCCATATAGCGGGATAAGCTCTTCAAAGAATGAAAGAAAGGGAAAGAAGACTGAGTGTTGAATATGAGCCATGAACTACTAGGCTGGCTCACTCACTGCCAGTGAGTTGGAACTGCCTCATAACTGACCCTCCAGCAGGTTATCAGAGGCTGGGTGCCTAGTAGCAAAGAGCTTGGACTGTCAACCAAGTCATACAGTTGAATCTACCAACTGGTCTGCGGGAGAAAGATGGGCAATCTCAGGGCACAGAGTGATTTACTGAGTCTAAATCCCACTGGTGTGTCTGTCAGCTGTGAACTGGTGCCAACTCAACAGTACAAAACAAAGACAACTAGCACAGGAGGGGATTGCCCATCTTTCTCCCGCTGAGCAGCCGGTAGATTTGAACTGCCTGCCTTTGGGGTGGCACCACAACTCTTTACCCACCAGAGCTCCACCATCACCATACTTCATCCTCACGAGAATTCCATCACAGACAAAGGAACTAGTATTACGTTTCTTTCCAGGGCCACATGGCTAGCAAGGGACACAGGCAGGCTTGCTTTCTTCAAAAGCAATGTGTTTACAATTGTACACTGGTGGCAAGAAGCTGCACTGCAATCCAAGAGGTGCACGGTTCGAATCCACCAGATGCTCTGCTGGAGAAGGAGGAACAATCTCCTCCTGTACCAGTCAGATCTGATTTGACGGTACACAGAAAAACATAATAAAATTTAAAAAAAAATTAAAACAAAAAAAAACCCAATTGTACACTGGTGCTAGAATCAGCAGCTGTTCGGTACGGTGTCACCCTGAAACAGTGTATTATTACTTGGGAGATGCTGGGACTGAGAATAGGTTATATAGTTCCATGTGGCTGTTAATCAGTGTATCTAAGTTGGCTTAAAGTATGTCCTAACTTCTTGTGCGGTTTGGATTTCTAACCCTATAGATAGGATCTCTGGGTGATGCAAACAGTGAAGCACCCAGCTATTATCCAAAAGGTTGACAGTGTGAATCCAGCCACAGACGCCTTAGAAGAAAAGCCTTGTGGTCTGTTTCCTAAAGGTCACACACTAAAATCCCCAAGAGTCAGAACATACTCCACAGAAACTGGTGGTGTTACTGATGAACAGGAAGAAGAAAGGCAGAGCCAGCAGTCTGGGGCCTCTAGAGTCCTGGGCCCACTTCTTGGAGGTTCACCTCCCACCTGCAGGGCCAGAGCGGGTTGTTCATCAACTCTCCCGCGTGGAGCGAGGTGTAAAGGAAACAGGAGACAGAGCCTGTTCTTTTAAGTTCTCGGAAAACAGGTAACCCACACTTACATTCACTGCCAACCTACACGTGCACGTTCATGTACATGCATACACATAGATGGTGCTACCTAGGGCCAGCATTCCCAAAGTCTGTGAAGCAAGAGATGCAGGGAAGGCTCCTGGGACAATGTCACTATACAGAAGGGGAGTAAGGAGAGATACCTATGCGGGACTGTAAACGGGCAAACGAGACTCTGGATTTTTGTCAAACAATTCAGAACAGAGAAAAAACTCCACTTCCCTTTTACTCTGTAAGGTATCTTGAGACTTGTTAGAAATGCATATTGTATTGAAACAGATGAGGGAAAGAACAGATTAGAAGTGATATATGACTGAG